GGCATCTTTTGGAAAGAGATGTCCTAGTGAAATTCAGATTTGGGGGTCATTCCAGAAGTCTGGAGGTGAAATGCTCCAGCATGCGCCATGCAAGAAATCTAGATGCACTGGCAGTCCTGCTGTGCCTTAAACATCAACACTACTTCAGGAAAGAAAGCAATGGAAGGAGGGCAGAGGCATCTGTATCAATAGCATGCTATTATTGCTGACCCTTTCCTTTGCCGGATGGCCACCAAGAAAACAATTTGGAATCAATTTCTGAAGGATGCTTTGCTGTCTACAGGGCACTGTCCTCTGGGGGAATGGTTTTAAACTGAGACAGGGGAGGTTTAGGTTGGATATTAGGAGGAAGTTTTTCCCCCAGAGGGTGGTGAGGCACTGGCACAGGTTGCCCAAGGAGGCTGTGGATGCCCCATCCCTGCAGGCATTCAAGGCCAGGCTGAATGTGGCTCTGAGCAGCCTGGACTGCTGGTTGGTGACCTGCACACAGCAGGGGGGTTGGAACTGGATGAGCATTGTAGTCCTTTGCAACCCAGGCCTTTCTCTATGATTCTATGATCATGAGTGAAGGTTTCAGTAATTCACCTTGATTTGTGCTGGACAGCAAGACCTCCACCCAGCTGAAGCAATGGCGTGATCTCAAACAAGTTGTATTTCACATCATACCCATCCCGATCTCTGCATAGACTGGAACCATACCACAGTGAGCATCTCTTTGCCACGAACAACAGGGCACTCCATTGTTTCCGTGGCTTTGGTCATTCCCATTCTAGCAGGGCCAACAATTATTTCCAGAATGAATTTATGCCCCTGATCCTCTGCATCACCCACTAGGCTCTCATTTGTCCAGCAGGGAATTTGATGTATGTCCTCAGAGGGCACATCCGACGGGCGCAGATGCTTGACAAAGCCACCCGCCCCGGCTCGTCCGAGCCCCATTGCACGCCAGCAAATGCCCTGATGTACAAAAAGGAGACGGAGTGGCTTCCAAAGGTTGCACGAGTGTTAAACTCTAATAAACAAGCCCCATCGGTGAAAGCTGAAAGAACCTGAGCCCTCCCCAACAAAGCATTTAATCCAGTTTGGCGTAACCTTTGACATTATTAGGGATCGCAGTGACCCTAATCCAATCAGATTGATTAACTAAAGCAGAGACCCCATAAGCTGACCCCCCTCTGGCCTTTGCTATTTAGCCCTGACCAAACAGTGGGAGAGACGTGCCATATTTACACCACAATGGGTCCGCGCTGAGAACCTGTTTCATTACAGAGAGACTTAAACTCCCATTACTCCATCAATGTATCATTCTTCAATAGTTCATTAAAAGCTGCTCCTCCACAATAACTATTAACCATTTCTCAGCCCATCTGGCAGGTTTAGAGCCCCAGCCAGTCTTTAGCAGAAGGAGGTGGGAGTGAGTGAAAGAAATAGACAGACAAGGGCTCCCTTTTTAAATTTAAACCAACCGAGGGACTTAAATAGTTTGAGGTAATTTACTTTTATTGAAAGGGGGAGGAGACGAGGAAACTTTTATTTTGACTTAATTATGTGCTGAGGTCCTTTACAGAGACAAGGCTGCGAGAAGCTTTCATTGTGTTCCTTCTCTTGAGATTGGTTCATATTTCTGACCAGAGGAGTCTCAAAGAGAGCTTGCACTGTGCTTAGAGGGGAGAAAACGCACCACAACTTAACCATAAATAGTGTCTTCAGTCCCTAAATGTTAAAAGCAGGTCAAGTGGCACCACTCCTAATAGTCACTTGAGCCTGAGATGGAAAATGCCCGCTGGGTTGCAGGGTTCACTTTCTGTTGTTGGTGAAGTCATGTCCTTCTATGACATCCTCCAAACTTTAACCCTGCATATTTTTAAAGACAACTTAAGCATTTTTCCTTCATCCTTTGGAAACTGAAAGCTATGGAAACTGCCTTACAAACAGCCCAACCTCTCAGATAAGTTGCCGGGCATAGCTCTGACTAGCATGGTTTCTCAGCATCGCATGGCTGTATCCACAGTCTGCTTCACTGCCTCTCAATATACAGATGGAAAAAAACATTATGAGACCCAAGGAAACAAATGAGAACAGATTTTTTTTTCCTCTAGAACTCGTTCTGCTACAAAAGCTCAAGTGAAGGTTGTTCTCTCCACAGTACCTAAGATTTGAACTTCAGGGAGGCTAGAAACTGGAGCAGCTTAACACAACTGATGGGCAGCTGGGTAGGTTTAACAAGGAGATCAGACCTGCTTCTTTTCCTACAAGAGCATCCTGTTCTCTGTACATCAGCATAGGACACCTGAAAAACCCATTTCCTAGCAATTCAGAAGGAAGATCCAATGGTGGCACCTATCTGAAATTTTCTCCCCAAAACTGTGCAGGGCAGGCAAAAAACCAAGGGACTGAATAGCTGGATGGGTTGTGGGGCTTCTGCTCCTGATATGGCTTGAGTTAAAAGGCTATGGGCCATACCTGTCAGGTGTTGTCTCCAAACAGACGTCAGCCTGGATCCTCTGAACATCACTGTTCCCTTGTGATGTGCTCATGAATACCGTTGTGATTTAATATGTGATTCGTTCATCCTGGCTAGGGATATGCTAAATATAAATATATGTATATATATACATACTACATATACAATATTTATATATTTATATGCATATTATATTTATAGGAGCTAAAAGAAATGGGATTTCTTCCCACAAACAGGCTCATGGGGAAAAAGATTTTGGTTTCAGATCAGAATATGGCTGTTAAGGGGAGCAGTCTGGTGACAGTTTGGCACTGCTGAATCACAACTCAAGCCTAGCCCTGAATTAGCAATGAGATAGCAAAGCAGCAAGGGCAGCTCAGACAGTGAGGCAGCCTCAGAGAGATTGGAGCCTAGGAAGCGTTTCCTGAAGGCATTAAAATCAATCCTTTGCAATCAAAGAAGTCCAGATAGTTGTGTTAGGGAAAAAGGAGTTGCTTTAGTGACCATCTTGTGCTGGGGGTGGAAGACGGGGCCCCTATTGACAAAGATGGGGAGCTGAAGTTGGATCTAGAGTGACTTAAAATTCCAGCCACAAAACAGAGTTTTGCTTTCTTTCTCTCTCTCTGTTTCTCCTTCTCTCTTTCTGGGTAGGAGCTCAAATATGTTCCTACCCTGGGGGATCTGCCGCACAAGAATGTGACTGAGCTGTTTTTTCTCCCCCCTCCTGCTGTAGGTGAAGCAAAACTGAAGGGTGGTTTGATTCTCCCTCAAGGAACAACATTCTTCAGTTATGAAATCGTCCCAGCCTTCTCTCCCTCGCTGCGCCCAGTTACTGAAAGCCTGCAGACTCGAGCACGGACGGACCCTTCGTGCTGATATAGCTGTGAGATAAAGCTTGTGGGATCAGAGCCCCTTCGGTAAGCAAGAAAGTGAAGATCACTTCTCTCCTGCTAGCATTCCTATGGGATAACATCAGGCGTCTCAACCAAGATGTTCTGCATGTCCTTGAATTGGGCTTGTTCAGCTTGGAGAAGGCTCTGGGGAAACCTCATTGTGCCCTTCCAGTACTGAAGGGAGCTTATAAGCAGGAGGGGGAGCAATTTATTACATGGTCTAATGATGATAGGACAAGGGGAAATGGCTTTGAACTAAAAGAGGGGAGATTCAGGTCAGATGTTAGGAAGAAATTCTTTGCTCAGAAGGTGATGAGGCCCTGGCACTGCTGCCCAGAGGGGGTATGGATGCCCCATCCCTGGAGGTGCTCAAGGCCAGATTGGAAGGGTGCTGGCAGCCTGAGCTGGTGTGGAGAAACCAGCCCATGGCAGGAGGTGGGAGCTTGATGATCTTTCAGATCCCTTCCAACCCAAGACATTCTATGACTCTATGACATCAAAAGAAGACAAAGGTGTTAGGTTAATTGGCTCACTTATTCCCTGTGCCCAGCGCATGCTTTTGGGAAAGTCACCCTGGGCTTGTGCCTATGGGAAAATATTTTGCTCTGCTGACCTAATTCAAACGCTGTAGTCACCCGGGAGTGATGTACCTGGAATGGTTGCTTTAATTCTGTGCCAAACATTGTGATATGACACCTTGATATGGGCTTAAGCGCACCACACTGCAGCTCCTGCAGGTGTAATTGTTTGGGGCTGATCTCTGATAAACCTGAATGGTGACACTGGTGTTAGCATCGCGTCCCAGCTCTAATGGGGTAACAGCATCCACCCATCAGCTGAAACCACACGCTCCTTTGGGTGTGTGTACAATGCCTGTTAGGGCTGGTGGAAGCCCTGCAATACAGATCGTAGCTCTGTTCTTTGCAGGCTGCTGTTATGTTATTAAGTGTAGGCCCAGACTGGACTGTGAAGGTGTGCTACAAGGGCAAAGAAGGATGAAACAATTCTTATGAGCTGAAATAGGTCCCTGCTCACTTATAGGTGAAAAGAACAGATGGTATCAAGAGTCAAGTACTCAAACATCACTACATTCAACAACTTGGGACAAAACGTTGGTATAAATGGGAGCTATTAGAGATGTTTTGTCCCAAGTTTTTCAATGCCCCATGTCAGAATTTGTTTTAATTTGCCATATCCATAAACCAATGGTCAACACCATTGACTCAGGGTGAGTTCCTCAGGATTTGATCTTCATTTTATCCCACAAGGGCATCAACAACGATTGTCCAACCCTTAGGAACCATCTCCAACCATGACTGCATTCAGACACTGCCCTGCAGCCCATCACCTTACACCAGAGAGCCACAGATTTACTTGTCAGCCCTATGAGAAAGTTTACATTTCTTCTTGTCTCTACCAAGTGCCTCTGCATCAGGTTTGAAAAGCTTGGATAGGGTCCTGTGCCCAAAATTTTTTTCTTGCCTCTGCCATTTGCCTCCTTATGAAATTCAGTCCTGTCTCCACCAGCCCATTTTACATGGAATTTTATCACACAGCAAGAATTTCACAGTGGGTTTATCAAAATCTCTGATGCTATTCCACTGTGGTCCTTGCTTTCACCGAACACGTGGCACGGGGCTCACCTTTGTCTAGCACGGGTCCGAAGATGGCCAAGCTGTCATTGACAGTTGTGCAGTTCCACCTCCTCCCTCGAAATTGGTGTTGACACTCTTGGATCCCAATCTTCACCCCTTCTGCTACGCTGGGCATGATCTCCACATAGTTCCGACAGAATCGTAGCTGCTTGGGGACCAGTCCTGGGATGCTCCCACAGAGGATGGGCTGAGTCCCCAGAGAGGAATACTGGTGACCAATTGCCAAGGACCTGGAAAAAAACACAAGGAAAACAGATGCTGTCAGTCTGACATTCAGTTTTGTATTTGGTTTCCAGGAATGGGGAAAGAAAATCAACATTTTCAGTTCCTCCGTGCATCCTGCTCACCAGAGAGCATCCTTTCCACTGTCATCTTTCTCCAAAATAACATCATTATGTCTCTCCTGAAGTTTCCTAGAGGACCAACAGGCAAGCGGCTCTACCTTTAATATCTTCCTTCCCTTTCCTTCATTCTCTCATCATTGTACCTCTTCCCAAAGATGCTCACCTTGTGCAATCAGTTCCACTTGCAAAGAGATTAAGCCACATTTCTTTCTTTGGAAGCCAAGTGTACTTGCACTAGTGCAAGCAATTTTTATTGGAAATCTTTGCAGCTGAGGAAGCCCAGGGATCAGAGAATCAAAAGCACCTCCAGAGCTATACAAGGTAATAACACTGACAGTAGAAGACTCCAAGACTTTAGAAGATCACAACAAATTTATGAATACCACCCAATTAATCTGTGTACCTTACCAGGTAACTTCTGAGACTGATCATAAAGATTTGAGCAGGTTGGACCTTGAGAGCTTCTAAAAGCCTGACCGAGCTTAATGATGGTCCAACATCAGTGCTGTCCTCCTTTATGAAAAACTGGACTCATGTTACTAGGAACATTAATGCAAGGATGCATGGAATTTTGGATCCATGGATCCATTGGTAACCTCTCTGAAAGTACATTCTGGAAAAGATTTTTTTGCTCGTTAGTATTTCCACACCTGCTTAGTTCAGGCATGTGCTTTGCAAGGCTTTATCAGTTTGAACTGCTTAAAAAATTAAGTATTAAAAGTCTGCCTCTGGATATTAAGTTCAGCAGATTTGCACTTCGCTCTCACACCAGTTTTAATCTGGGAATTTTCAAAACCAGGGTTGCATTTTCATAAAACCCAGCTTTGCTGTGCTGTCACGAGGATATGCAAAACCTGCTTTGGCCATCAGTCTGTGAATTGCTCCAGTTAAAATGAACAGAGTAAAATAAAAAACCACAACAATTGGAGTGCAGATTCTGCGCTGAGCCAAATGGAAGTCTTCTGAAAGGAGTGTCCACGAACCATTATGTTGGTTGAAGCCTTAGAGACAAACAAGTCAGCTATGCACAGAGATCAGCAGATACGTAGCTAATTAGATAAATTTTTAAAGTGTTTTTACTGGTGCTTCTAATAATAACCTTGATTACTAAAACTGAAGGGATTTTTAGAGTATAATTTCCTATTCTTCTAATTAAATCTCTTGATTGACTTTTCTGCTCAGAATTAATGACAAACAGAAACTTGCCTGGGCAGCGTGTATTTCTGTTTACCTTCATTTTTTTTTTTTTTTGCTATGTGGTTTTCATTTGGGAGCAGCCTGGTGTGTTTGAATTTATCAGCAGGCACCCAGGGAATATGTCTCCCCTCTCTTTTGCTGTAACATTGTCAAGTAAATGAATTTTAGATGGACGAGGTGAAAGGTGTCTGTGAAAGCAAACATTTTTCAGCTGATTTCCAAAACTTACGGGCCTTTTTCCACCTCAGCTGTGGTTTGAGTTGAAGATTCATCTCAGCTAACATTGAAGGACAGTTCTTCCTATTCCGGGGAGGGAATATGAGGCAACTATGGATTGCCTTCCAGAAGTGCCTGACTCTTCCCAGTAAGAGGAAGGCAGGTAGAAGGACACTGACTAGGAGTTGTGCTCATCTCATCTACCTTCTTATGTCTCCAGCCCAAGCTGGAGACATAAGAAGGTAGATGAGATGAGCCCAAGCTACACACCCCAAGCTGCCTTTGTAATCAGTCTGAGGAGAGAAACAGGCATTTCTAGGGCACGATTCATCTGCCCCATTTTAGACATCTGCTTAGGATGAGGTGAATCATGGCCTTGCCTCCATTGAATGTATTGGCTAGACTAGAGAGAATAAACCCTGTGTGAGCAGTTGAGTGGGATGTGTCTGCACTGTAGAAGTCTCCGGATGAATCATGTCATTACATCTAACAACAGGTACGGCTAAGTTCCTTAAAATTTCCCACCCAGGAAAGGTGAGTGCTGTGCTGAAGTCTGTGCAAAGACCCAAGGAATAGGAGGGAGGTGAGTTCTTGCAGGAGCCCACAGAAGAAAGCCAAGAAAAGGACCCAGCTGACTTGTTTTCCCTATCTATGTGTCTTGATGTGGGTTTTCTTGAACTTTTGATTAATTCAGGGAAAAACTAGTGGCAGAAAAGCACCTGTGAATGGATCCCATGCCAGACCAACTGGTGTTTTCACTTTGACTTCACAGTGTACTTTTAATTTAATTGTTAAGCTATAAACAAAGCGCTGGATCACACCTGATGGTCTAAAGACACCTTTTGAAACGCTACTTCAGGCTGCAGGGGGCTTGCTTAGGGTGTTGCCCCTATGGCCTTGCTGGGCATACAGAGACTTAGGGTGCCACATCTCCAACTCCAAGTCTATTCAGAGCCCAAATGCATGGGAGATAGCAGCTATTCCCAGAAGGCAACTTAGAATACTTAACCTCTGAAGTTAGATGGCCCTTATCTCTGTAAACAGTGAGGAGAAATAGGTGTTTTCACTGAAGCCTCCAGCCTCCAGAGAAGAGCACCAACATTTGCTCTGACTCATACTTCAGAGAATAGTTTCTCCACTGTCTATAGCAACTGACTACAGAGAGTCTAGGATGGCTCCTTGCAGTACTTAAAGCTAACTTGGGTTAAAATATTTACAGAGCTTGTTCCCACATCTACTAATGTCACCAGCATACATCCCAAAGCTTTCCTAACAAAGGATCCACTGTGGTAGGATCAGCCTGCTGTATGGTATGCCATATTGTGAAGCCAGGACGAGGACTTTCTTCAGCCACTTCAACAGAACCTAGATGAAACTTTAGGACACCAATTAAACTTCAGTTTATCTGAACAACCGAACTCATGCCTCTATGTCTTTTGGAAGTTACTGCAGCAGTACGCTGTGAAAACACAAATCATAGGAAGAGGAGTTTACAGGTTGGTGCCCTCAACTATTCGTTTCCATTGTTGGGAATATCATCTAAGATAAAAATTAAAAACATGTAGAAATACTTTTAATTGCTTTTCACACTGCTCCCTTCTCAATGCAGCAGGGAAACAGTCACACCTTACTTTGATCTGTGTTACAGTCTGGAAAGTTTAATCTGCAAAAGACAATCTCATGCAAGAGTCTTGTTCTCAAGGCGTCATCAGGCACTGAGACAGTGAATGTAGAGTTGGAGTGTGCAGTCACTTGACTTTCAGTCAGAGCTACAGGGTGGAATCTCTACACTGGTCCATGCACAGTGCCTCTGCTGCTAAACACAGCTAGGTACAGTCCTTTTCCTTCCTTACTTACAGACTCTGGAGTGTGATAACATCAATTAGGACACCCTCTTTTGGTCTCTAATTTGCTACCAGAATCCAGATGTAAACATTTTATCCCTCTCTCTAAGGTCAATTCATCTTTAGGAGATTGATCACAAGATATGAGCCTTATGAACCTTCTAACCCCACCCATCCCAAGCAAGCAAGCAAACAAAATCCACCAACATCAACACCTGAAAAACAACAACCAAAACCATTAGAAAAGACTTGGAAAGACTATAAAGATCATAATCTCGTTTGAGTGTTACTCAACTTTCTGGTAGCTCCCATCTTTCATTCTCCTGTTTCCAATGATCAAATCTGTTTTCTTTGCATTTCCCATTCTCCTATGCTCTGTTTCAAAGCCATCTTCTGCATGATGGTGTCAAGAAATGGGCCAAGTGGTGAATACTGTGGTCTAACCAGTCATCATCTTCAACTTTTTTAAGCAACAGCTCTTTCTGGATGCATTGACACCAACATCTTCTTTTTCACTGGAGAACTCATGAAGCTCTCAAGTTTTCAAAAATGCTGATTCCTCTTACAGGTAATGCTCAAGTTTGACCCAATGGAAAGGGCCGAAGAGCCATTCTTTTCAAACCAATTAGCTTTTTCTTGCAATTAGCTCAGTAGGAGCCATGAAAACACTATTCTGTAAGTCCACAGCCAAAGTTCTTGGCTTATCTTTAAGCCTTGCACGCCCTGAAGTGTTTAATTCAACCTCGAGTGAGCATTTTTTTGCCAGCACACCTAGAGAGCTCTTCATTTCCCTTATCTCAGTCTATCTGCTCCTTCAGCAGAGTGGTTGTAGATAAGTACCTGGCCACCTTCTTAATAAATTACATGTACTCTCCCTCTTGGAATGGACACCTCAGTCAGTTTATGCAGAAGAAATATGCAGGAAATATATTCTCAGAGGTTCTTCAGAATGAAAAAAAGAGAAGGCTTCAGTTCTGGATGACCTTGCTGTACAGCACCACTCCACCAACTTTTCAAGGTCACTACCTTCTCAGTGCTGGCTGTCAAAAGTCCTTGACGCATCAGGTGCAGCATGTAGAGGCGAGTATGCCTACTTGCCTCTTCCTGAATTCTGTTATTCTTGAACTCTGTAGGGGCTCTGTTTTGCTATTCATCTTGGAGAGGCCTTTTGCTGGCTCCAAGTGCTGCTGAGAGCGGATGTCCTTCTGGGATCCCTGACACGGGTAAAGTAACTGCTTTAATTGAATTTGTACAGCAAGAGTGTAACGTCTCTGCAGCAACCCAGCATAAGGAACAGAGAGCACTTAACTCCCTACTGAACACTGAAAACTGAGCACTAGCTGTTACACTGGTTATTTTGCTTTATACAGATGGACGGTGGCAGCAGAAGTTAAGTCAAAGGATGCTCATCTGCTTATATTGGAGGGAATTTATGTTCCCTTCCAGATGCACTAGGTCTTTTTCCACTCTGCTCCCTTTGCATGGGCTTCTCTAGCAGGAGGATGACAGAACTCCTCCAAATCCTCTCTCATGACCCATCCAGATTTCTAGAGGTTCACCTCACACTCTTTTCCTTTTTCCCTCATTTTTTGTTAACTCTCTACCGTGCCACAGAGCAATCTATCCAAA